CGTGTTAAATTTTAGCTTAAATACATCAACCTTAAATCATTTTCCAATGGACCTTTGGATAGCAAGGCTATTCATAGCCGTGGTCAATGGTCATGGGATTCTTCGGACGTTTGATTTATGTGGGGCACTGTTAATGGATGTTGGGATTTCATTGTCATCCATACCCTTCTGCAAACCAGTTGCTCAGAATTTAAACTCTATTACTGTACCTTTTCTTGTCTTGGATTTTATTATTTAAAATCCCTGGATCACATAGGTTGCTGTGTTTCTAACCTCTGACCTCACTTAAGTGGCGGCTTATTTGATTTTTCCGCCCAATAGTTTTATTGAGATATAGATATCATACACTTTCAGAATTCAGTCACATTAAAAGAGTTGTATATACATCACTATAGTCAGTCTTGAACATCTTCCCCCTCCTGTATTCATTATTCACTCCCCATTTCCTTCCTTATCAACCAACGCCCACATACACCTCACCCCATGCTCCATCCCTGATAAGCCATTACACCAATTATTGTCTTTGTACATCCACCCATCCTGTACTTCATATACTGAGAAACATACAAAAAATGAAAACAGCTAATATATTTTTTAAAGAAAGTAAAGACCAACAACAATATTAAAATAAGCCAAAGGAAAAAATCTCTATCAAGAAAAAAGCAGGGAATATTAAAAACTAGAACAAATTCAGAATGGGTCAGGAGGGTGATGGAATAATCAGGTACCACATTGTTGCCCAATTCCATTTGCCATAATCAAGTTTACAGTGGTATCTGTCTGGTTGCAAGGTTGATCACATCCCTTGATTGAGGTCACTAGGGATCCACCAGAGGTTTAATCATTGGGACCCTGCAGATGGATTTTGGCCACCCACTGTCATCCATACCCTTCTGTAAATTAGGTGTTCACAATTTAAGCTCTGATACCTTTCCCTCCTTTGGATTCGGATTTTGTTATTTATAATCCTTCCCATATGGACTCAGTGTGTGCTTCTTTACATATGGACTCAGTTGACACCTTATTTAGAAGAATGCTTATTTAAATACAGGCCTTTAAGACCGCAGATGCTATTCTTTTTGATAGCTGAGCACCATCTGTTTTCTTTACCATACTTTACTGTAGCACCCATATCTTCATTGATCTCTTCACAAGGGTAAGCAGTGAGCAGGGCCATGTCATAAGAACTAATTGTTCTTGGATTGGGGCTAGAATTAAGTGGGTGCCCCAAATCCATTCACTTGTCTCTAGATTACCATATATCTCTGGCTTACTTTAGAGGCCTCATTATCATTTTATGACAAAAAGAAACATTGTCAGTCATCACCCTGGGGTAAAAAGTAGTTAGTTCTATTGATAGTGTCATTAATTTATCCAGAATTTAACATACTATTGAAAAAAGGAAGCTATTCAAGTGTAGACCAAGCCCCTAATAGCAGTCCATGAGTTGTTGCTTTATACAGATTGAACTCTTAAATGATTGTGATCTATTTCAGTTGACCAGTGGGTTGGTGATAGGGGAAATTTCCAGTAACATTAATTTACAAGGGCAGAGCCTTGCCTCTTTGATTAATACATGTCATACTAAAGCAAGGAAGGCATTAAAATAGTAAATAATGGTGGTAGGGGCCCTCTTTCATTGAGATGGCTGCTCTTTCTTTCTGATAGTCAGTACCGTCTGATTTCTTCACTACCCTTTGCTATAGCACTTACTTCAGTGATCTCTTTGTGAGGGCAAGTAGGGAGTAGGGCTGTGCCATAATTGTTCTAAGGTTAGAGTTTATGATTACGTGCATGCTTAGTCTATTCATATATTTATAATTTATAGATGTCCCTGGACAACTTCAGAGATATTAACATTTTATTGGGTCATAGTATAAATCATCTGCATGGGGCTTGTGGTAATTCTATTGATAGTATCATAAAACTAGCCAGTGGCATGTAATTTTAAATAGTGCTTTGAAAACTAAAGTATATAAGTCTAGGGCAGTATTTTAGACTAAAACCCATGGATTATTGACTTGTACAGATTAAAACCATAAGTGACTACGCACTGTACAAACAATGAAGATTAGGGCAAAACTTTCAATAACACTCATTCACTAAGGTAAAACTATGCCTGTTGGACTAAGACATGTCATAATTAAAGCAAAGAGTATGTAACAGCAAATATCTGATAGTCTTATGTTGCCA